TTGAACTTGGGTCCTTGCACTTGTGAGGCAGGGGGCGGCACCACTGAGCTAAATTCCCGGCCCTGGAATGGCCATTTTGAGTTAAGTGTATGCTCTAAAAGATCTCTACCACAAGAACACTGTGGGAAATGAGTCCCTGGCCCACCAACCTTAGGGTGCTGGCTCCACTGAATGGAAGCTGAGTGAGTGTGGGTCTGCTAGGTGTCCAAGGGACTTCCCAATCCGGCTCCAGGGGAGCCTTACAGTTGCTGTGTCTTCACATATGGGTCCCTGGGCTCGAGCATGGCCAAACTCGACCGCTTCGGCCTGGCCTCTGGACCCCGGGGTGGACTCCTGGGAGAGGCGAGAGAGACAGTGACACCAAGCTCCCCGCAGAGGCAGGGTCTTCAGACGTGTTATCTTGTCTGCTGTTGGGGCCTGGCCACAGGGGCAGGTAGGGGAGACGGAGAGCTATGTCCTGGGTGAAGGCGTATGAACAGGGCAACAAACAGGCTGCCTCAGGAAGGCAGAGGGAAAGGGTGCTGTGCTGAAGGCACAGGAGGGCCTTGGAGAGGAAGCCTGCGGATCACAGCACGAGCCACACCAACAGACCTTTCTAGAGAGGGCCACCCTGGCCAGAATCCAGAGTCGGTTCCATTGCCAGGCCTGCGCAGCCAGTCCCCAGCCTGACCACCTGGCAGCCACTGGGTGGCCTGGAGTGGAAACTCCAGATTCTTGACTTGCAGCTGGGAAAACCACTGAGAGTTGTCAGGAGAGGGTGGCTGGATGCTTCCTCAGTTGTAACGTGAGGCAGTGTGAGGGCAAAACAGGAAGGGAAGCCAAGTATGGCAGCACATATCTGTAATGCTAGCACTCTAGGAGACCGAGCAAGAGGGTGGCAAGTCTGAGCCCAGCTTGAGCAACTTAGCAACTTAGTGAGACTGTCTCAAAAAAAATTTTTTTTCTTTTGTTTTTGTTTTTTGAGACAGGGTCTCACTACATAGTTGAGACTGACCTGGAACTCACTATGTAGCCCAGGCTGGTCTTGAACTCACAGCAATCCTCCTGCCTCAGCCTCCAGAGTGCTGGGATTACAGGCATGCGCCACCACGCCCGGCTTCAATCCCCTCCCCTTTTGTTTTTGATACCTGGGGTTGAACTCGGGACCTTGCACTTGTGAGGCAGGTGGCAGAACCACTGAGCCAAACCCCTGGGCCCTCAAAATTTTAAAAAGGGGGATGGGATGGGGATGCTGGTACAAAAAAAAATGGAAGCCATCCCAGGCAGAGGGAGACCCCTCCAAAAGCATTAGCCACACAAGGGTCCCAAGAGAAAGGAGACAAGGAGCCCTAAGGAGCTTGAAAAGAGAAAAAGTTAAAGACAAGAAGAGACAATCAGGCAGAAAGTAGCAAGGTAGCTGATCATAAAGAGGAAAGCTGTTACTGCTGGGAAAAGGGGTCCTGGGTCAGAGTGCCACCGGCTGCCATCAGGGCTGGCCCATACTGAAGTGCTCCGTGGGGGCAAGTGCACAGGCACAAGGAGAGGCAGGCTGAAATCCCAGGATGAGAAGATTGTGTCCCACTTAACACATTTTATTTCTGTTTCTCCCACTGGCTCCCCCGCAAGTGTCAGCAGAGGTCCCCGTGGACATTCAACCCATCCTGACCTTGCGCAGGGTAAGGACCAGGTGGAGAAGCAGGGAATGGACCACTCGGTGTGACTTACAGGGACCTCACGGGGGATCACTGTGGCCCACGTCCGCAGACCGCCTGACTGTGGCCTCCGGACCATGGCCGTCATCCTTGTAGAGATCCACGCCCTCATCTTTGTCCTCCGTGCTATCCTCGGCTTCGGTCTCAGCATTGCTCCGGTTGTCCTCAATCTCGATGGAGTTGGGGAGACTGGATCCCGCGCTCTGGTCCGGGGACACAAAGGGCCCGGGCTGTGACAGGCTTTTGGGGTCCTGCCTCTCGGCTGCAACGGGCTGGAGGGGGCCGAGCAGCTGATGGATCGACGTCTCGGCATCCAGAGGGAGGCCAAGCTCTGCAACCTGGTCCCGGCTGCTGCTGGTGGCTGGCATGGGCTGAAGGGATGAAGACTTTGTGCTGCGCCGGGAGGCACCCAGCGGCAAGGTGTGGACTCGGTGGGAGCCAGGCTTCGAGGAGCCGCTGCTGACCTGGGAGCCCTGCACCTGGGAGGCCTGCAGCGCCCGCTCAGCCTCATGCAGCTTGCGCAGCAGGCAGCTCCAGTCCATCCCTGAGGACAGACGAATCCGGGAGCCCTTCACCTCCTTGAAGCCCAGGAAGAGGTCCACGAGAGCCTCTGTGACAGGAAAGGAGACGAAGCCAAGCTGCTGCTGGAGGCTCTTCTCGTACTTGTACTTGAGGGTGAGCAAGGAGACCGCCTGCTCCACCAAGAAGCTGATGATCTCCTCAAAACAGGGGTTGGAGAGGTGGGACACGCTGGACTTGGGCGAGATGGAAGGCAGTGGCTTCTTTGTGAACTTGGTGTTGGAGCTCTGTGGGGCAGGCAGGGAGAAAGAGGAGACACGTCACCCTGTCAGTGTGCCCCTCCTGCTGCCCTACGACACTTACCACATCTTTGGCAGTCCTGCCTGCCCTCTCCGACACAAACAACGCTTGTCACACAAAAGGTACAGCCCTGTCACGTCTGACTTGCTGTCACACTCGATAAGCCAACCCTCATGCTCACTTCACGTGCCTGGTTGGTCAGGCCCGGGGCAAGGCCGCTGACCTCAGTCACCACGTCGGCAAACCTGAGGCTCAGCAGCGCCCAGGCCTGTGTTCAGCGGGAAGCACGCTGGGCCTGGATGACAGACAGGGCGGGCTGGGATACTGCTGGGGACCCACCAGAGTGAGGCCACCTACATCTCGCTATCCTTCCTGGGAAAATTTCCTGCAGCGGGTCAGAGAGACCTGAGTGTCCCGCAGTTGCACTCGAGGGCCCCACTCTGGGCAGAGGCTGCTGTCCTCAAGGAACAGGACCCTTCCCTATTTGGGGAGGGCTCTAAGATAACACAAAATGTTGGAAAAAATGCCCATGATTTTTTAAAAAATAGCTTTTATTCATCCTTGACAACACCTTGTGGTCTTCTAGGAGCCCGTGCCTCACCCAGGTCATTTCCATAGTGACTGCCAAGGACAGTGGCTGCTCGGAGTGGTGAGAAACGAGCCATTCCCCTGAAAATTTGTCCCCCAGCCCCCCAGCTCCTCCGCTGAGAAGGCCCCTCGGGACGCCGTGAAGCGGACGGGGAGAAGCTCCGTACAAACTACAAAGTGGGTGAAGGAAGAGGACAGCACGGAGAGGCAAGCGGGCACCAGACTGGGATCCCGAGACAGTCTTGTCCGGATACCACCTCCACGATGGCCCCAGAAGTGGGCAGGGCCACAGGGGGTTTCGGAAATGTGGGATCTGAGTCAGGTGCCTTGCTCCTAGAAGAGAGTCAGGGGCTGGGGATACGGTATTCTTTGGCAGTCGTCACCTTGAACTTGAATCTGTTGGCCACCTGGGCACTAGACACAGGGGAGCCCAATCCATTCTTGCTTTTTCGGTGAGGTAACTTGGGGTTGGACACTGTGGTGTGGAGAGAATCACTGGGCTCCTCCCCCTCGGCTGGCTTGGAGTCTGGCAGCCCCTGACTGTGGTTAAGTGGTGGTGCTGAGGTGAGCTGGGAGTTGGTAGGGAAGAGGGGGCAGCCATCGCGGCAGCGGGCACCCCTGAGCTTGTCCGCAGCCTGGCTGACCACACTCTGCAGCGCAGGGAAGAGGCGGTGCTTGGCCAGGAAGTCCAGGGTCCGATGGGGCTCACGGAGGACGCAGTAGCCGGGCAGGTCCAAGGACGTCGGCTGGCTCAGCACAGGCTCCCTCTCCTTGTTCGACTTTCCTTTGAGGAAAATCAGCTCCTGCTCTCCAGGTCCCGGTTCTGATGCTTCAGGGGTCCCTGAGCTGGAGCCCAGCAGCCCTGAGAACCAGGACAAGGGCTGCTCCTGGGTCCACTGGCTGGCGGTCTGGCTGCTGGGCGAGTTCCACAGCAAGGAGTCCCTCTGGGAACAGGGCTGACTCCAGCCTCTCTGCAGAGAGAGGGAGACTCCGAGGTTCCAGCTCTACCCAACTGCACCACCCCTGAACCGTGGTCCCAGACCTTACCCCTTTGTTCTCCAGCTGTAGCAACCGCTTGAGGTTTTTCTCCAGCAGGAGTCTGTCTCTCATGGGGGGCAGTGATCCTAAGCCTTGGGGACCTAGGTCACTGTCCCGGCTGTGGGAGCCCAGACGGCCAGCTGTGAGGCTGCTACGGGAGTGGGACGCGGAGCTGGAGCAGGATGGGTAGTTATTGGGGTGTCCAGTGCAGAGGGTGGGCCGCGCACGGTGCCGCCTCACAGTGCTAAAGCTCGGTCGGGCACGCGCCTGCCGCTTCCCGCCCGGCACTTGTGTGGGGTCCTGCACCTCCACCAGCGGCACCCCCGCCTCCGTCTTCATGGTGGCTAGGCGTTCGGTTGCCTCTTCCACCACTGTCTGTAGACTGTCCAGTACCTGGCCCTCTGTGAGGAAATCTAGGAAGCTTCCAAAAGCTTGAGGTCTCTTAGCAGCTTGACAGTAGCCCCGGTGTGCTGAGCCGCCACCCGCTGATGGCGTATGTGGCACACGACCCAGCTTGATGGCTGGTCCCATCTCTGGCAAGAGTGGCTTCTTCGGTGGTGGTACCTGAGAAAACAGGCTTGTCACAGTGGGCAGGAAGCCTGGCAGGGAAGGGGTGGCTGTGATTCTCCGAGGTCTGCCACTAGGAGCTGGGTGGGGATTGAGCAGTGGAAGGAATTGTGTTTTTTGTTTTGTTTTTTGGTGGTGGTGATGGAACCCAGTCTTAAGCATGCTAGGCAAGTGCTCTACCACTGAGCTATACCCCAGCCTGGGAACTGCATTTAGAATCCAGTAATTCTGAGCCAGGCATGGTTACCACATGCCTGTAATCTCAGCACTTGGGAGGCTGAGGCAGGAGGATCGTTGCAAGTTCCAGGCCCACCTGGACTATCCAGTGAATTGAAGGACGTAGCAAGACCCTGTCTCAAAAAAATAAAATAAAATAAAATAAAAGCTCCAAGATATATCGTGTACAGGTACAGATTCCCTAAGATGAATGTGATCACAATGTTCACCTAAATTGTACCAATAAACTCAATGAAAAAAAATCGTGTTAATCCTGAGGGAGGTAGCTGACTGCCACCTTCAGGGTATGTGACGGTGCCCACAAGGGCCTCTCCTGAGGTCCATTCTCCTCATCTAGTTGTGCTTGCCCTGAGCTATGTGCAGCACACCCTATCTCACGGAGTCTGAAAGCCACTTCTCCCTCTCGCATATCATGAGTGAAACCCTCCGGAGTCTCTTCTGCTCTTGCGCCCATGAACAGACCTGTCCTGTCTGCACTGCTGCGCTGCACAGAACACCTGAGGTCCCGAGTCCTGAGCTACATAGCTGGGTTCCTAGTGCACCAAGCACCTCCTGGGTTGCTGGAGTCAGAGGGACCCGCGGAATGAGAGTGAGGCCCACAAAGAGGTCATAGGAGAGGTCTCCCTGTCCGGAGATGAATGGAAAAAAGGAAAAAAAGAAAAAAAAAGGGTGTGGGGGGAGGGGTTCTCAGGCATCAGGGTCTGAGGTCTGCTGGGCACTCACCCGCGCCCTGCAGGTGCTGTGGGCAGCCTCGTCGTCCGCCAGGTACCCCGAGTGGTGGCGACAGCCGGCCATGGTGCAAGTGGCCAGGCCTGCTGCTCGCCTCCTCGCTCTTCAGTCCACGGCACAGGAGCGGACCGCTCTCCGTGCGGGGCAGCGCGAGGGGTCGGAGGGTCTGAGTCCCCCGCCCCCGCGTCAGCGACCGTGGGGTCCGGGAGTCCCTCGCTCCGCGCACCTTGCCTCCTTCAGGACGCCCCTCCTCTGCTAGGGGTCTCCCGGGCATCCGCACACAGTCCCATGCTGCGCTGTCCAGGTGGGGCACCGACTCTGGTCTGTAGGTCTCCCTCCTCCCAGACCCGGACCGGACCCGGACCCGGGCCGACCGCTCACTAGAGTCCCCTCCCAGACCCTCGCAGGGCTGCTCCTGGGCGCCGAGCTTCGTAGTCGCGGGGCGGCTCTCCGCTGGTCATTTACATACCGCATCCTGATTGGTTAGCAACACGCATTTCCCCCGTTGGCTCTGCCGCCACAATGGTTGGGGAGGAGCCTGAGTTGGCCCCTCCCCCACGACCCCAAACTGGGCCTTACTTTCGCTGGGAGCCGAGGGCTTGGATTGCCGCTGACCCGTTTCTTTCAGACCCTAAATAGCTCTGAAGTTGGGCCTGATCTTCATCTGCTCAGAGGAGCCTCAGAGCAAAAGCCATGTCCTCTACCGGCGATACAAACACTTTCCTCACTGGTTGCTGCACAGCTCTGGACCTCCGGCTCTACGTCTTTCCGGGCGCCTCTCCCCTTGCTAGTGAGGACCACCTCAGCATCTGTTCTGGGCCTTCTTGCAATCCCCTTGACAACAGTGGACAGTCCCGGCTCTGTCACAGACCTAGCTCCAGTTCCTGACTCTACAGTTTCCTGCTGATGTAAATAAACCTCTCTGAGCACGGGCTCCTCTTTTCACGGGGTGAGGGAGGGGACTGGGGATTTAGCTCAGTGGCTCCTCCGCCTGCCTCGCAAGCAGGAGATCTTGAGTTCAATCTCCGGTACAATAAATAAATGAGAGAGGGGTAGATGTGGTATTGAGTGTCTTTCTGCGTGAGAGTATAGGGAATGCCTAAGATCTTCATACAGTACACTCCACACCTGAAGAAAAGCTCCATGTACCCTTACATCTTCTTCCTTTATACCAGACAGCCTGACACAACATCCCAGACTGTCACACAATGTTGTTACTCATTTGTCTACCAGATGATGTCCCTTCTTTGGGGGCAGGAACTAAGTAGTCACCTTTACTCTCATCCCATTTTTTTGTTTGTTTTTTGAGATAGGGTCTCACCATGTAGTTGAGACTGACCTGGAACTCACTATGTAGCCCAGGCTGGTCTCGAACTCACAGAGATCTTCCTGTCTCAGCCTCCTGAGTGCTGGGATTACAGGCGTGCGCCACCACGCCTGGCCCAGTCACCTCTAATCTCTAACACTGCCAGTGCCTGTGTCTGTATGACAAGAGCTTAGTTGTTGCTCTTTGAGGCTTCCAGTTCTTACAAGGCTCCATATGAGATATTTATTCTGAAGCTCTGCCCTCTGTGCCCCTGACCTAAGTGGGCAAACAGGGCCCAGAAGGCTGGAGAAGACCAGGGCATAGGCCCAGGGTTGCAGGGATCAGTTCACTGTTCGTGGCAGGACCACACACACTTCTTCTCTCTGACATTGTTTTCTTATCTGTAAAAACAGAAATGACATTACCAGTCTCCTAGGCTGGACACAGATACCATATTTCCCAGAGAGAAAAATCAAGATGGTCACATAGAAAAAACTCTGGCCATCACCATGGTTACGATTGTTATAGCCACGGGTAAAGGACCCTTTTCTGAACCAAAGAATAAAGGTAAGGCTATGAATGTGAAGGTTGTACCATTGCACAGTGCTTCAGATGGAAATAGGGGCTGATGCTTTCTCAAATAAAACTACTGGTATACGTGTTCATTTTCTTGTCTAGTAGAAAAAAAAAAGCCTCCTCTTAGAAAAATCAGAAGACAATCAACAGTTTGAAAAAAGAAGTAAAAACAGCTAATAACATGAAAAAACTCAATAGACACTACTATCAAAAAGCCAGGTGTGGTGGTATAGATATGATCATAGATCTCAGGAGGCTGAGGTAGGAGGAGCAGAAATTCCAGGCCTCCTGCCTGGAGCCCACTGTGAGAGCTTGTCTCAAAAAAGCAAAAAACTAGCCGGGCGTAGTGGAGCAGGTCTGTAATTCCAGCACTCGGGAGGCTGAGGCAGGAGGATCGCTGTGAGTTTGAGACCAGCCTGGGCTACACAGTGAGTTCCAGGGCAGTCTCAGCTACATAGTGAGACCCTGTCTCAAAAAAACAAAACCAAACAAACAAAAAAAAGCAAAAAACTAAAGGATACTACCCAGAAAGTTAATAGGTGTGATTTCTGAAAAGGGTAAAGGAATTTTTTCCTTTTGTTTCATTTTCTTTCTTTTCCTCCTCCTCCTCCTCCTGAGATTATATATGTATATTTCCAGGGCAGTCTCAGCTACATAGTGAGACCCTGTCTCAAAAAAACAAAACCAAACAAACAAAAAAAAGCAAAAAACTAAAGGATACTACCCAGAAAGTTAATAGGTGTGATTTCTGAAAAGGGTAAAGGAATTTTTTCCTTTTGTTTCATTTTCTTTCTTTTCCTCCTCCTCCTCCTCCTGAGATTATATATGTATATATATATATAAAACCTCGTTTTTTAAAAATACATCACTTTTCAAGTACTGCTTATGAAGTCAAGGCGAGTTCCGCGTTGCAGTAAAAGCAGCTTTGGGGCCGGTAAAGCTGAGCAGCTGCCGCGGGGACCACTAGGTGGCGAGGACAAAGGCGTCGGGCGCGGAGCCGAGGCGGGGCCGGCCTGTCTCGCCCATCCTCCCTCCAGGGCGGCACAAAACAAAATACTGCAGAAACAGGAACAGAAATAGCTTAAACTTCCAACCTCACGAAGTCTAACTAACTTTGTATTTTCGACATTCAGTATGCGTGCAGCCAGCTGGAGCAGCACCCTCTCCCCAATCCGGCCACTTCAGATGCTACTGTTCCCTGACTTAGGGAGGGAGGATCCTGGGGTGGCTAAGAAAAGCAAGGGAGGGATCTGCACCCTTACTTACATGCCTATCCCTCAC